TTGCCAGTCTTGGTACTTCTTGGACTCCAGACGCGCATAGCCGTCACCTCGTGGCAAATCCCCATCTGGAATCCACATCGCGATCGAGTCGTGTGCTGGTAGGTACACAGTTCGATCAGACACGTTGGTCAATCGAATGCTCTGAGGCCGTCCACGTCGAAACCTCGTCACTGACGGGATTAGCTTGTTCGCTCGACGAACCCACAGTACGTGTTCTTCCAGCCCGACTTGACGCTTCGCTAGTCGATATTCTCGCCACTCGTGCGCTTGAATGTCCAGCCGCTCGGGTGGCCCGGCGTTAACATGGGAGCCGTATTCTTTGCTGTCGATCATGTTCTTGGTCTTTATCAGCGGGATTTGGACTTCGTGCGGTAATTGCGCCGCGCCGTGGAACAGGTCCAACCGGATCCCGGCTGGGATCATAAAGTCGGTCCCGAGTACCACGTCGACGCCTGCACTATGCGCCATTACCAACATCTCAAACTCGTACACCATCTCCCATCCGAGCGTAATCTTGACGCACGCTCGTCGCGTCGTAGACACCTTGCCTTCGTTGATTCCTTGAATGTCAATGCGGCGTCCGTGATCAGGTACATCTCGGAGTCGCAACTTCTTGGCAAAGGCGTCAGTGATCACACTAACGTTCGCTCCTGTGTCGAGGAGGATCCTCGTTCGCTGGTCGTTCACAGCGCCTTGCACCAGAGCTCTCATTCTGATCCGTCGGTCGAATTTCTTGGCCGACCACCACCCCTGTCTCTCGCCAAGGTTCAACTTCATCATCTTGGAGTGACCCTTGGGCACGTCTCGCGCTGCACTCGAAACCAAGCCGAGCGAATCCTCGCTGGTGCCCTCATCAGCATCAGCACACTCCACTCTCTCTCCAACACCTCCACCGAGGATTCTACTCCTCTCCTTTTCATTTTCCGTCGCGTTCACACTTGTTACGTAATTATCAGGCCATTCACTCTGCCCCATGAAAGCAAAGATACACTCTGCTTCCATTGAAGGCTCAGTTAACTGTGGCAGCCCGATAGGGACCAACCCAGTTGTAGTTGGCGGGCTGCCTAGTTTAAATGACGTTCTTGAACGACGGCCTTGAGCTCTGGCGGGAGTTCCTCCTTCGTGCCTTTAGTGCGCACGAATTTGGCAAGGTCTTGGAAGTTGCGGAAAAGTTCGCATTGTCCAGCATCGTGGAACTGCTTGCAGAACTTGCATCGCTTGTTACAGTAGTGGGCGGAGTGACTCATGCCACCGCACACCGCGCATGGTCCGTACTGTGGGCGTCGGTTGTCGCGGTTGAAGTCACGTCGACCGCGTTGGTCCTGATTGAACCCACGGTCACTACTTCGGCGATCTTGATTGAAGCCCTTCTCGCGATCAGGCGTGTTTCCACGCGGTTGACGGTTGTCCGAACGTGCGTAGGTGCCTTCAGCAGCTGCACGGCGCTCGTTTTCGTTTGCAGCAGCGAGGTATCGGTCGTTTTCATCCAATGAGAAATCGCCATCCGTATTATCGGGCTGAAAGTCGTTGTACTCATCTTGGACATTGTCGTAAGCGTTCGGATCTTCGTTTGAATACTCGTTGCCTCCTTGAGCAGCTTCACGACCTTCTAATTCAGCTAGTAGGTCGTCCACCGTAGCTTCAATGAGTGTCACTCTTGGTTTGTTGCGGTTGTCATCGCGGCGACGGTCATCACGCCGGTTGTTGCGGGCGTACCCATCGTCGCGTCGCGTATCACGACTCTTAGAGTATCGGTACTCACTGTCACGCTTGGCCATTCTCTCCTTGCCCTTGAGAACATCTTCGACGATCTCTTCGAGCTCGTGAATGTCGGCGACTCGAGCGTGGTAGAGACGCTCCGCTAGTTTGTCATCGTCGCATGTTGCCAGGAACTGCTGTACGTGTTCTTTCGCGTCGCGACCACTCTTCTCAAAGTGTAGACGGGTGGTCCGAGCGTAGCCGTTCAGCCTGTTTATGTAGTCGCACAGATGTTCATTTCGTTCCCGCTTGGAGGAGTAGTAACGCGACAGTGCCGTCTGCGTGAGCTGCGAGCAGTAGTAGCGGATGAACGCAACGCTCAGCAGCTTCCACTTGCGCTTCGTCTTCTTCGGAAGTTGACGGAACCAATGAATGGCTCCGTCCCGGAGACTTAGCTCAAATGGAATGCACAATTTATCGGCATCTGTGTGGGTTCCAGTCATTTCATAGACGAACCCATGGAGCCACTGCATACAGTTCTCGCTCTTGTTGCGAGAGCCTGAGAACGGCGTGATGCGATCCAGCGGTCGGTGCGAAGCCATTTCAATCCTCGGTGTTGGGTCCACGTCGTTCAGCGTCGCTAGCTCATTCATCTGACGCATCAACTCGAGTTGAGGATCTTCCTCCTCGAATGTACGCACCAAAATGTCATCGTCACTGGACGAACCATCGCTGTCGACTTGACGACGTCCGGCACCACCTTTGGGAGCTCGCGCACCGCCTCGGCGACCGAACGAACCCTCGTTACTTGCGTAAATACGTTGCATACGGCTCTCCGAACGTGGCGTAACCATGTGCGAGTCTCGAAAGTACGGTGAAGCTTCGGTAGTGCCAAAGGCACCACGCTCAGCTCCACGCTTGGTCGGAGGAGTACGAACGAGTCGTTGGGGCGTCGGCGGCAGTGGAATCTTAGACGGATCTTCATCTTGAATCATCGGTCGACTCACAGGCTGCTTTCCGGCATTGATGCCAACGGCGCCAAACGCCTTCCGAAGCTTCTTCTTCCATTTCTGGAGAGCAGCTCCGGCTTCATGTGGACTCCAATCCTGGAGCGACATCGTTGATGGGTACGTCTCGTTCTCGAACCCCAGCGACAACAGTAGCGAAACTGAATCCTCGGCAACTTGACTAGTCGAAACCGAGCTGACTGGGTATTGAAGTTCCTGCGCAAGCGCAGGCCAGTCGGCCTTTTTCTTGGGGATGGGCTTGAACAGCTGCATCCACTCATCATTCTGCATCAGCGCTTGTACGCGGTCGAAAACGCGCTTGGCGGCTGGTGTATCACCGTTGATAGGTGGGCGAGGTGCCTTCAGCAGTGCTGAATGCTTTGCACTCGCCACCGAAGGTTTAAAACCCTCGGTCCCATCGTCATAATCATCATAGGCCGGTTCCGGTCCCGCAACATCATCGAGCTCGTCGGCGAGGTTCCTCGAAAGGGACTTGGTCGCCCCGCTCAGCCCCGATGATAGCGTGGCCGTCTCCGGCGTCGCTGCGCCTGGCTCTGGAGCCGGCGTCTTATTAATGTAATCTTTATAATCGTGGGCGTCAGGACCGATGTCCGCTTCGTCGTCGAAGCTCACTGAAAGCTCGGTGGCGGCTGCAAAGCGCGCAGCCGGGCTTGAACTCTCGTTGCGAGCCCCGCCAAACTTGGCAGGCGTAACTGGTACCGTCGGTTGTCCTTTCGCCATGTTTCTTGTCTTTTTCTTGTTCTTCTTCTCTTGGTAGCTCGTAAACTGGAAGGCCATACAAACAGTTCACAATGGTCACAATCTATTCCCGGGTCGCGGCACCAGTTGTGGTGTTGGAAATCCCACGTGAACTCTAGCTACAGATGTAGTTAGGATGTTCCCACAACAATACGTCTACTAGGATAGTAAACGATCGTTCGGGCGGACCTGAAGACCCCAGTTCTGCCCTTGCACCGGGACAAACTGGACCTTGTAAACTACTTATATAGGCCAACCAGTAAAATAAGAACACGCTACTAGCACGAGCAAAGCTAGCAGGTGTTTTGAATCCTCGTGGTCCCAACAGCGGAAGGGTACCAGGCACGGGTAAGCCTTTTACGAGATCACCGAGTGTTCAACACTCGGCTGGAAGAAATAAAAGGGAGGCAATTCAAGCACTCCCAGTCGTGCAAATAGGCAACAATAAGCCGTCACGTAAAACCTCCCGATAATAATCGGCCAATACACAAAGTCTCTTGGCCTTGCCGGATGAACCCTCGCTACAGAGCTTCGAGTTCACCGACAGGCATAACACACTCAAACAAGCTTGACCTGACGCTTACCTTGAAGCCGGACGTCGCTCTGTGTGCTTGAGTGGAAATTCTGTTCTGTATTTAAGCTTACCCTTTCGGGTCTATTCCTAATAAGAAGTCCTAATCAAGTATACAAATATCAAGTGAACAATGATCCGTTATGGATCTTCTTGCATGCCAAGCGTCGTCTGCACCATCGCATGAGCATCTTTAACGGTCCGCGCCCTGTCCCAGACGGTAAACGTGTCTTCTAAAGGTCGCTGAGTATTCCGCGAACTCATCCCAACCGCCACTGAGGGTTCGTACCGTAGATGGTCCGCTGAATGCGAATCCGGCCAGTCCATTATTAATAATAAGGACAGCCTGGATTCAGTGACATAGGGCCGTATCCGATACTTGTTGAAAACTCGGAGGTGACGCCGTCGAGTCCCTGCACCTTGGCGTCTCCGTACATCACCCGACCGAGGGTTCGTCGCTTGAACAACTTGGGCGGTGTCACGTCTTTGTCGACGGGTGATAATCCGCAACTACGGAGAAATCACTACACCACACCGCCATATATCTTTTTAAAGACCGAGTCGGTCGTTTATGTGATATTTGGCAGGCACCCAATGGTTAAAAACTAAAAACCTGCACAATAATACTGTGAAATTAAGCAATAAACAATAAAGCTTTGAGATTGTAGTGACACTATAAAAGAATCAAAACAGTCTTGGGGAACTGCATAATTCTATTGTAAAACAAAAGCAAAGTTTGTGCATGCAAAACGAAAAGACAAATAAATGAAAATGACTTTGTCAGGGTGAAATCGAAAGGCAAGATAAATATATTAAAGCCTCTGTCGTACAAGTGATATGAACCAAACCAAGGAATACGACTTTGTTGCATGAACAACCTTGACTAAGTAGTACATTTATTTCTCACTGAAGAATAACACTTTAATAAAACCCGGAAACGACCCGAGAAGTCAAAAGGGCGAAATATGCTCCAGAAATGCAAGCCTAGTATGAGCCTAAATAGTTAGTAAGATGTGCTCCTACTCACGAGGTTGCGTTGATGCTGTCGATCCAAGCAGAGTTGCTCAGCTGCTTTACAAAGGGAAAAGCCCGGCGACTAAATTCATTTGCCAAAACCAGGCAACAGCTATTGTAAACCATGACACGAAATAGCATTTAAGCGGTTAGATCGGGCTTTACAAACTGGGAGCCACTGGATTCTAACCAGTCTGTTATTTTTGAAAGTAAGCCAAAACGTTTTCTTCATCTATAATTACAAAGAAGTTGAAAAGTAGAAAAATAATATTTACCAACGGTGAACACGTTTTCTTCTAAAGTTATAAGGTTTTTTTTAATAGCCACACATCGCAAAATCAAAAATAAAACAAAAAGTAGGCAGAAGTGTAAAATTAGACATGAACAATTTACCGAAAAGCTGAATAACAAAGCTACACACGTCGGTCAATGTGGAAGGCTGTTTAAGTATGCTATATCGAAGCCCCCCCTCCATATTTTATGCAAAACTATGCATCGACGTTCAAATCTGTATCCTCTAACGAGAGGATCGGCTTAGGTTCCTTCAACACTTCAAAGTAATCATGCTAAACGATGATTAGTCCCAATACTTAGTCGATTTTTGTTTTACCGGTTTCCCCCTGTCCTAAGCGAACGGCCGTGTGCGCAGCTTGTTGTAGGTTCTGGGTTGCTACACAAAATTAGTAGCTAAAAATTAAGATTTAGGTAAAGTCACTGATACTTAAGTTGTTTATTTTAGCCAATAAAAAAGTGGACACGGCGGAATTCGAACCCGCGTCCAGTATTCTCGTGATCAAATCAACTGCCACATCCAGCAGCTTACCGGAATAGTTTGTTGAGCATCCGAGGTGACGGTCCCGGCCTACTTCAACGACTCGCAGCATCAGGCGACTAAAGATGCTGGAGCTATTGCTGGTTTGAACGTGCTGCGTATCATTAATGAGCCGACGGCTGCTGCGATCGCCTATGGGCTCGACGAGAAAGGAGGCGAGAACAACGTGCTGATCTTCGATCTCGGAGGCGGCACGTTCGACGTCTCACTGCTAACTATTGAAGACGGGATCTTTGAGGTCAAGGCGACGGCGGGTGACACGCACTTGGGCGGTGGGGACTTCGACAACCGTATGGTCGAGTTCTTCGTGACCGAGGTCAAGCGTAAGCACCGCAAGGATATGACGTCGAACTAGCGAGCTCTGCATCGTCTTCGTACGGCGTGCGAACGCACCAAGCGGACGCTGTCCACTTCGGCGCAGGCGTACATCGAGATCGACTCGCTGTTTGACGGCGTGGACTTCAACTCGACCATCACGCGCGCGCGGTTCGAAGACTTGTGCAGCGATTATTTCCGCAAGACCATGGATCCTGTTGCGCAGGTTTTACGAGACTCTAAACTGTCCAAGAACCAGGGGAACGAGATCGTCCTGGTCGGAGGCTCGACGCGCATCCCGAAGGTGCAGCAGTTGCTGAAGGATTTCTTCAACGGGAAGGAGCTGTTCAAGTCCGTCAACCCGGACGAAGCCGTCGCGTACGGCGCCACCGTGCAGGCTGCGATTCTGAGTGGCAACGAGTCGTCTTCGAAGCTGCAGGACCTGTTGCTACTGGACGTCGCGCCGTTGTCGCTGGGCCTGGAGACAGCCGGTAGCGTCATGACTAAGCTCATCTTCGTCAGCAGCCACTCCGAGTGCCTTAAACTTCAGCATTTGCGAGGTGACAGGACAGAATTTATCCACAAGACGATAGCACTCTTAGTCTCACTGGAAAGTATCGTTCCTTGTCCACTACACCGAAGATTCTTGTGATGGCCATGTCCACCTTCGCAAACGGCTTGTATCGGCGCTGCCTGCTTTTTCCACTTCGATATCTGTTTTTGCTTGCGTTTTCTGTCTGAGCTAGATAAGGGCGGAAAGAAGTGAGCTATTGCTTCATTCACAGTATGCTTAGATTCCAGAAATTGTAGTATGGTACGCTTGTGAACATAGTCTACAGCAATACGAGTAAACCTCTTTGGCCTTCTGCCTGTTCCAGATGAGCGTGGCCTCCCCATGGTGTGTTCGGCATGTGACAAAGCCAAATGTGTGGCAGGAACAGTCTCATAATTAACTGGTTGTGAGAGTATTTTTTAGCTGTGGACATAATTCTTAAATGAAGAAATGTGATTGGCTAAAATAAAAATTCGCTTAGGACAAAACTTCGCTTAGGACAGGGGTATCTCCATCACTGATACCTTTTATCCATGTCATGTTAATTACGTAATGATTTCATTTTCAGAAAGTTATTTTCAGAAATCGTTTAAACATCACTGACTCACTCCCTTCGCCCAAACCCGAACACGCACAACTAATTGCCGAGGTCACAGCAACAGAAGACGACATTGCTGCGCTTCTGAGGCGTCGCTACTGAATTTGGGCTGTAAGCAACAAATGCTTCAGCGAGGGTATGAAATAAAGCGCCAAATAATTGCAGAATACCTCATTTTGAAAGCGGTTCAACGAAAACAAAAACCATTTACCAAATACTCATCGGTGGCTGGGTCTACGAATAACCGACACCGGTGGAGGTACTGCATATAGCGCTTAAGTAGTAACTACTTCGAAGTAGCGTTCGTCAAACACCAACTGCATTGTTGAGAAACCTGTTTGTAACGGTTTTTACCATTTTACTAATTTTATACCCCCCCCGGTTTAATTGCGCGATTGTTACCTGAGCACATACTAACCCTAGTGATACAGAATATTATACGTAAATTCGTTCCGTGTTAATGTTGCCTAGGAAGCGTAATCAAGAAGCCGCTCATTATTGAACATTATTAAGGACAAAGGCATCGAGGTGGCATCCGCAGTAGTGGTGATAAGCTAGCGCAAGCTTTGGGCCCTTTGTATAACTATCAGAGGACCGTAATATTTTTATTTCGTCACTTGTCAGCGCCACCTTATCCAGAACACTCAACAAGTGGTCCAATGGCGATTCTTGTTGCTTTCGCTTGGACACACTTGTCTTGGCTGAACATGCTGCAACAGCTCGTAACTTCTATATCGGTGAAGAAATCTTCATCTCTCTCGGCTGCACTTTGGGCGATCCATTGACTGCTTGCCTGTCCCAACAGTCATGTAAAATATTACTATTATCAACATCTCTGTATTACTAGTACTACTAATATTTCACTTTTATTTTTTTCAAAACGAACACATAAAATCAACTGTCCTACCAGCGCCTCTACTTTACAGATGTCTAGATGTAGGCAACCTCCTGTTTAAACTCAGGCCCTTGCTGTATCCTAACATGATAAGGACCTCTGTCGCGGTCTTCCTCTAATCTGGGTCGTGAGTATCTTGGGCCGACGTAGGAGGTAGTAGTATTAGCGACACTACTTGGGATAGTTATGTAAGAGTTGATATATTCTTGTGTTGCTTGTTAGAAGGATCTCTACGACTGACTTCCTCATTTCACCTCGCTAAGAGTTATTAGAGCTTCTTACCTTTTAGCAGATCCCTCGTGCGTGGCGGTCCAGCTCCAGTTCCCGCCACGGCCAGCTGCTCCACGACCTCACACTTGGAACGTCACTGTCTTGGCCGCAGGTCCCGCTTGCTTGAACGTGGTCCGGAGAGTCTGGAGTGAGTAGACCTTCTGCAGGCAGTCAGCCATCATCGTTAATCCACCGTCTAACTGTACACCGTGATAATTCCCCCCGACTGACGCTCGGTGTCCTCGCCGTGCCACATCGCCCGGAGCCTGTCGCACGGTGTTTTCCACAGTCAGATCTGGAACATTCCCACGTGACGTTCCACTTGCATTTGGATTCACGTTCCTTACTCCAGACGCCGTTCCTTCGGCTTGCATACCTCGCAGTCGCTCCACGCTAGCTCTCTCTCTTTCCTCACGACGCTCTATACGACCAGCCAGTCCTTCCCACGTGCGTCTCACCGCCTTATCATTCTGGTCTACAGCGCTCGACCGGAGCCCTCCATAATATCGCATCATGTAGCTGTAGCAACCGACAACTAACACGGCCAAATTCCAGTAGCAACAGCCAAATTCAAACTCCAGGTAGACGTCCACGATCAACACAACCAGCGTCACTCCCATCCAGCCACACAACACTCCTTCGACGCTCTCGTACACCAGGCGGGGCAGGCAGATTATGATTGACAGTAGTAGTGACGTCAGCAAGTAGCTTCCAGCGATAAAGTCTCCAACTCTATCCACAACAGCTACCACAGCTTCGCTAGTGGTGCGAGCGTACCGGCAGGACGTTCCCCATAGCAAAAGACTCGCATCGGGAGCGTACAGGCAGCACGAATGGTGGAACGCCTGAACCACTTAAGGCACATAGGACCAGTAATCCCGAAGCGGGACTCGTAGTCCTGAACACCGCGATATGCTCCAAGAACAGTAGCTTCACTAGCGCGCATGCGTACTCCGGAGGTGGCACTGCTGCGGCATGGGCATTTCGAGCAGCCACCAGGTAACGATCGCAGCAAGTGTACCAGAAGAAGTAGATGGCACGCACGTTCTCGATCGTTCCGTCGAGGAACGCCCACGACACGTTCCGAAGAGGCGTCCATGCAATCCAGATCACAATCTCCATCGCAGCGCTGCCGACGACCCTCATCTTGTCCGCCACTTCGATCTCCATAGCCCAGTTTGCCGGCTCCGCCCATTTTGGAAACGCTCCCAACATCGCCATCAATTGTCAAGTGACATCGTCACAACAGCAGCTCCCCCAGACCGTTAGCCGTTAGGAAGGTTCTGCAACCGACACCTTGTCTGCCCGAGTCACGAAGCATGATTGCGTCCCTCGATCAGCGCCACGTCCCAACTGTCAACCCTTCTCGCGTACCCCTTGGCAGCCATCAAGTAAAAGCGTTCAGTTTTCGAGTTTCTCTCATTTCGCACTCCGCCCCGCCATGTCCACGCAGCTTTCCGCCGCCGAGCTGAGGCGCTTCCGGGCATTTTTCGACGCCGCCCTCGACTATGAAGAGCAGGGCACCCCGGGGGACACTGCGCGAGCCTTCCAGCAGCAGTTTTGGACCGAGCTGCGCGCGCACCTGGGCGCTAACAGCATGTCGTCGGGTCTCCAGTTCTTGGACCAGCTCGTTAAGGACATCCTGAATGGTCAGACCGACGCTTCGTTGCAAGGAACCGTCGTGGCCCTCACCGCGCCGTCAGACTCCGCTCCCTCTTCAGGCTCCGCTACTGCGTCGACAACGTCGTCGAGCAAGCAGTCGAAGTCGCCTTTTAAGAAGACACCCAAGTCGCCTAAGTCGCCAGCGCGAGACAAACGTAAGTCCAGCGGTGATGACTCTACTTCCAAGTCGTCCGCGAAGAAGGCTCGCGTCGTCAACAAGCCCAAGAAGTCGCACGTTCCATCCAACGAGTTTGGTCATCTTCTCGACGTGAGCCGCTCTGCTCCAGCTCCCGTTCGTCGGGCGATTGCTGCCATCTTGGCGAAGGCAGAGGCCCTTGGTAAGAAGCCCTGGTGCCTCGCGTATCCTTGGACCGGACGTCCCATGTGGTACGATCCAATCAAGTTCAGTCAAGTTTACCGCGCACACTGCCGTTTCTGGATGACCCATCGCCGTGCTTTCTGGGAGTGGGCCCTACATGCTCCTCTTGCCTCGGCCGCGGCCATGACTCAGCGTCGTAAGCTAAAGATGCGCGCCATTCAAGCCCGCTGGGCCTTCACCAGCCTTTGCTTAGAGACATGGGACTTATATGCCTTCCTCGAGATGTTGGAGAAGCGCCCTGAGATGTATTGGCTCGAGGGCCAGCCCGGCAGAGCCACACGCGATGGCCGCCCATACAACGGACCCATTGCCGAGGACCTAGCGACCCTGAAGCAGAAGGACAAGGAGCGTTACGACGCCACGCTCGAGAACGCGCTGGACCCGTCGAATATCGACACTTACGGGTACCCCAGCATGCGCTCTCTGTTTGAGTCTACGGACGCGCTGAATCCAGCCGCAGACGAGAAGAGCCGGCTCTCCCTCGCTGCCCTGGCGCGAGTTCGCCGCGACACCATGTCAAGCACGAAACCAAACGTAACTTTGGCTGGTGAGAAGAACGAGGAACCGTGGTAGACGCTCGTAAACAACCACGCCGTCAAGCTGACCCAAGATGACATTATGACCCAGATCATCGCGGGAACGTACGAAGTCCCAACAGTCCGTCCACCGTCCAGTACGGAACGTCGTCGCGACGAGCTGTCCAAGTTTGAAGATGAAGGCGAGGACGAAGAGAAGGAAGCTGCGGCCGACGACGACGACGCTTCAGATAACGACGACGAGGAGTCCGAAGCCGACGAAGACGAAGACGAGCAGGAAAAGGAGGAATTCGTCGAGCAGGAGGACGGCGACGAGGAAAGCGAGAAGGACGAAGATGAGGACGACCAGAAGAAGGGCGCCAAGTAGCCCCGAGATCCTTCTGTCTTTTGCGCTGTAGCCGCTCGTAGCTCTCGTTCCTTTTAAACCGTAACGTTCCGTCGTTTCTCGTTGTCGTGCCTTGTTCCTTTTCCATCGGCTCTTCGTTTCTATCGTCAACGAATCGCTCTTAAAACGCTTCTTCTCGTTCCAAATCAACGCATCCGAACTCCCTCGGACTCGAAACTATCGCTTCATAAACTTCCTCACTATCCAAACTGATGCTTCACAAACTCCTTCACGTTCCCAACTGATGCTTTACAAACTCCTTCACGTTCCATCCCGACACACTCAGGCTTGGTATGCTCGTGACGTTCTCAAAATACCCAACTCCGTAAAACCCAAAGAACAACCCATGGTCGTTCCAATTTAGGAAATATGTACACGTCACTCAGTGTTCTGAGACCCAGGGAGTCCCAAACACCCTCATGCAGTCCCACTACTGCACGCATTCTAACCGGCTCCCGTTGCCAGCTAGAACAACACCTCAGCATCGTCGACATCAGCATTGGCTTCGATCAATCTGACGTTCCGACGCAACTCCGACAGACCTCTCTTCTTCCGATCTGCGTCCTCAAAGGCACGTATCATCGTTCCAAACTCCGGTGCCAACGCCGCTCGAGACAACCTGAACGTCTCAAACGTGGCGGTGAGTACGAGATACTGCGACCCACGCTTTTCGACTCTCTTCGCGATCACGTCCACTATCGGCGACGACACTCCCGAGAAC